CAATCAAAGCTGCTTCTCCCCACCCCTCATTCTTCTTGAAGGACGGAAACCAGCTCCAACCCTTTCAGCTGATTCTTTGTATATTTGTTAACTTTTTTTAACCTCATTTTAGATACTATCTGTTGAAGATCTTAACTGATGTGGAAATTAGCTCTTTCTTCAACTGACCTCACTGGCTGGACTTCCCATCCTTCTCTGTATTCCCGGAATGAGTTTGGTTATATCACCGTTCAGTGTTTTTATTATCATGAAGGCAATTCAGAACTGATCTATAGTAACTCTGATTAATGTTCTTTTCCCTTGTAACATGTTGTTTTGCCCTAGAATTAATATTTGTAAAATTTGCATAATTATTTATGTACCAGTCACTACTTCAACACTAACCTATCAGTTATCTAAATCCCTTCATAAAAAATGTATTCACAACAGATTTTCTTTTAAATTAAAAAAAAAATTATTAATTTTAGAGAGAGGCAAACATTGGTTCGTTGTTCCACTTATTTATGCATTTGTTGATTGATTCTTGTATGTACCCCGACTGGGGATCAAACCTGCAAACTTGGTGTATCAGGATGACGCTCTGACCAACTCCAGGCACGGCACATCTGACTTTCTTCAATTTTATTTTCTTAAAGTGCCTCAGGAACCTTCCGATCGGGCTCCGATCTGGTTGCTCCAGTCCTGCAGCTCAGAGCTGTGGTCTTCACCACCATCCTCCTGAATCCCCTCTGCTGGCTCCTGTGTGGTGTCCCTTCCTTCATCCACCTCTCGCCCCGCCCCCGTCTTCCTCTTCCTCAGGTCATTCCCTCACTTTAGAAGAACACATCCTTCAGTGGCTTAAAAAAAAAAAAAAGAAAGATTGTATTTATTTTTAGAGAGAGAAGAGAGGGAGGAAAAGAGGGAGAGAAACATTGATCGGTTGCCTCTCATACACACCCAGTCTGGAAACTGAACCCACGACCCAGGCACATGCCCTGACTGGGAATCGAACCTGCAACCTTTTCTTGGTGGAACAATGTCCAACCAACTGAGCCATGGGGGTCAGGGCTTGAGCAGCTTCTTAAAAAACGGATATGTGGGAGGTAAAACCTGGAGACATTGAGTAGATAACTTCCCAGGGATTCCACGCTTACGTATTTCTGCCTTTTGCTATGTGACTTCCTGTATCTCCCTAAGGTTGCCTATAATCCCCATGTCACTGACATCAGGCTTGCACATGTCACTTGCTTTGATCAATAGAATATGACGTGACATCTGAGCAGAAGTTTTAATAGCAGTTGGGAGGTTCTGCTCTTTCTTCCTGGACCCTGGAATGAAAGACTGTGGCCTGCGGAGCCACAGCCACCTGGACTTGGAATAACAATGTTTTTTTTCCCAAAGGCTGAGATCGTTACCTTAGCAAAACGTAATCTGTGTCTGGAAATGTCTCTATTCAGTGCTTCCCATGAATCCATAGTTTTGGCTCAATACAAAGTAAAAAATTCCAGGGTGGAATGTTGAAAGCTTTGCTCCATGATCATCTACTTTTCCAGTATCGACACTGAGAGGTCCAGAGCCATTCTGACGCCCAAGCCTTTTAAGGAACGCCCTCCTCCCTGGTCCCAGACTCTGGAAGCTTATGGGATCTTTTCCTTATCCCCCACTTTCTGAAGTTCTGAGCTCACTGGTCTTGACATTTGGTCTACTTTCACCCTTTGTGCAAGGCACTAGGAGGGCCCCAGAAATGTATGTCCTTTAATTCTGCAAACATTTCTTAAGTAATATTGATTTCTTCCACTCCATTTTCTGTTTTCTGGAGTTCCTATTTTTGAAATCTTGATTTCTGATTTTCCTCTTTTTCTTCCTGCTCCTTTTTGGATTTTCTGAGGCATCTGCAATTTCCCCCCACTTTTCACTTCAGCTATCATGTTAATTTCCAAGAGCTCTTTTTTTGATCCGGGTTCCCCTGCAATCCAGCCTGAGACAAAGTCTTCCGTGTAAGTAGCTTACTTGGGAAGGTGTCCTGGGGACAGGCGTTAAGGGCTGGAGAGGTGGAAAGGGAAGGGCGAAGGATGTCTTCAGACTGGCTACTGCTCTGAGCAACGGGTGCCTGATTCTATGCAACCTTCTGAGATGCTTTATGAAATCAGAACTGTCCACCCAGGGGACAAAAAGCAGTATTAGCTCCTGTGCCTGAATGGTCAAGGGTGACCTCACAGGCTCTGACTCGCCTGCATCTCTGGGTTGCACATGCACCAAATGTCGAGACGGACATCAGACCAAATACACCAAGGACTGCACCCAGAGAATGGGAGACTATTCTCAAGATCTGGAACTTCTGTACAACAAATGTATTTGTTAGAGGCTGAACAATGGATGCTGCATCAACTCAATTACTTTAGAAAGTGCCAAGGTGGAGTAAGTGTAGAGATTTATTGGTGGTAGAAATGCCCGTGAAGGGAGGGAGGGAGGGAGGGTAGGAAGAGCCTCAAACTGCAGGGCGGCTCTCCATCTGTCTGGCAACAGCCCCAAGTGCAGCCCTGTTGTGAACCTGCAGCCTGCGTTACATGTAGGGCGACGGGGCTGTCACTACCAGCTGTTTTTACAACAGGTTTTTTTTCTTTTAAAGGTTTTATTTTTTTTTTTAGAGAGGGGAAGGGAGAGGGAAACATCAATGGGTGGTTGCCTCTCACCCGCCTCCTACTGGAGACCCAGCTTGCCAGGGCTGGGTTTTCTCTTTTTCAAAACACCTTATTGAGCTATAGTTGGCATGCGATAGACTGCACATACTTGGAATGTAGTTTCCCAAGCTTTGGCCTATGTACACACACACACATGAAACTCACCCTATTCAGGACAGTGGGTATCCCCGTCACCCCGACATTTCCCCAGGTCCCACTGTAATCCTTCCCACCCACACCTCCCCACCGAAGGATCTGCAGTCATCCGCAGTCACTCTGTGTAGGCCGGTTTGCGTTTTCGATTCTATGTAAACCAGATCCTTCAGAATGCACTTTGTGTCTGGCTTCTCTCCCTCAGTGTTTTGAGATTCACCCATGTTGTCACGTGTTACCAATAGTTCGCCCCTTCCATTGATGAATAGTATCGCTGTGCGCGGACATCCACAATTTAGTTCTCCAAAACCCCGTGATGGGCTTTGGGGTTGGTTCTGGTTTTTGACTATTCGTGGAGGAGGTTATTATGGACATGCACGCACAAGTCCTTGTATGGATGGCGGATATAGGAAAAGCTTTTAAACACAGTTTTCTGAAGGGGCCGTACCGGTTTCCATTTCCACCAGCAGCAGGCCAGTCCTGGTTGCTCCGTGTCCTCGTCGATACTCAGGATGGTCAGTCTCTTTAGTTTTAGCTGTTCTGATGCACGTATTGGTATCTGGTCATTTTAATTTGCAGTCTCTTAACCGACGTTAAACATCTGATGTGCTCATCTGCTATCTGTAAATGCTCAGTGAAGCATCTGCTCAAATCTACGGGGCTTTTGGGGAGAGAGGTTGTTTTTCTATTGAGTTTTCGGTTCTTCATATGTTATGGTACAAGTCGTTAGTTTGTGACTGAGAGATTTCATATTTTTAAGACAGGAAGTTCACAGGCGAGGTGCCCTGGAAGGGGGAAGCCAACGCTGTGCGGCAGAGAACTCGGGTAGCCCAACCGCAGGGTCGGTGGGCTCTGTGACCCGAGCGGAGTGGGTCTTTAGGAGAGAGTAACAAAATGAAATGATGTGAACTGCTAACTGTCCCCAGAACCTCAATTACTAGTGACTTCACGTGGGTCACCTTAGACTCATAGGTGTGTCCCAATTTGTGGCATCTCTGGCCCACACTGGAAGAGTTGTTTTGGGCCACACATGAAATACACAAACACAAATGGAAACTGATGAACAAGAAAGGGATTTTAAGGAAATTTACGATTTTGTGTTGGGCCACGTTCACGTCCATCGCGGGACGCGCGGCCCACGGGTGAGACACCCCTGCTAGTCAGCGGCATCCGGCTGCATACGTCACAAAACAGCTCGCTGAGAATTAATCCACACAAGTGTGATCGGAGCCCAAAAATACTCCCTGATGTAAAAGACTGAACTACATGGCACTGCAATTTTCACAGTATATTATAGTTTGGTGTTTTATTATTTATATGGTGTTTAACAGATTCAATACTTCTACCACTGACCACCAACTAGTTCTCTCCATAATTTTATTTTTTACAGACACAGATAAACACAAGTTTTAGATTTAAGGATTTCAGTCTGCTTCCCCTCCCACCCCCCACAAGAACATTTTGGGAGGGCCATCTTGTATTCCCAACTGCAAAAATGGCATTTAGTAACAGATACAGCTTGGCAGAAAGGGCAGATATTACCAATAAATAATGGCTCAAGTAAAATTATGAGAAAATGTAAGAGCTAGCTTTTCATGCCTTTTCCCCTGAGAAGCAATAACTGTAACAATGACAGTAATAGTAGCAACTACCATTTATTGAGCTTACTATGTTCTAGGCACTGTGCTAAAGGCTTAACATGGGTTATGCCCTTTGACCCTCAGAACGTCCCATGAGTACCGCTGTTAGCCCAATTTCCAGGTGGGAAGGAGGCGTACGCAAGTCCCTCGTCTAAGACCACAGAAGAGGTAGAAAGCAGTGGGGCCGGCATCGCATCCCAGGCCGTCTGCCTCCGGACCTCTGCTCTCAGCGGCACGGGACCCAAAGGACCCAAAGGACCCAAATGCTCATCCCGCCCTTCCTGGTTGCCTTGATAAAGTCGTGTTGAAAAGGGGAGGATTAAATGAGAAAGAAAAAGGCCAAAGAAAAACTAGTGATCCCACTAACTGTGAGGGAGGGGGAAGCCACAAACTTAGAAGACCCCTAGACTACCTACTTTCCTTAACCGAGAAACAAAATGAAATTCACTGAACAGTTCATGAGGCTCCTTCACAGTCTATGAATACAGTGTACATCAGGCCAAGAAACCAGTAGTGCTTGTGAAGTGAAAATTCAAGAGATACCATCTATATTCACCTAATATTTTATTTCTGGACCTCTCTGAAATGTCAGAATTCACATGGCCAGTGGAACTTCCCATATGAAAATGCTGCTCTTCACGACAACTTCCTGACAAAGGTATTTTAATGCAGGAACCAATGTGTGAACATGACACTTGGGTGGTGGAATTCAGGTTACAGATACAAGATAAGTATCCAGCAATACACTTCCGGCTTAACAGGAAACAGAACAGCGGTGAGGTTGTGCTCAGCACCTGGGGGGGGGGGGGGGGGAGTGGACGGGGACTGGGCGGGATGCGAGGGTTGACAGTATGCACAGGCTACGGCCCCCCTGACAGGCTGCTGGGGGGCACACGTGTGACCAGCGTTCAGGAACACGGCGATGTCGGCCCATCAGTGATCGTTGTGTTCACATGTTTTGAGCATTGAAAACTAGATTCAAAGTCTGCTCAACAAGCTAATGCTACTATGAAGTCCTTATATTCAAAATACAGTTGAAATGTGGAAAGTCCAAGATAAAGCACGTGTTTCCATGATTACTTTCAGACACAGCTGGGACCACGCTACCGGACACAACAGGTCCCGCCGGGCCAGGTTCATTCTGGTCACTGCACTTTGTATTTGCTGGTCATCGACCACACACATTTTATGGCCCAAAAGGAACCTATCAATCCAACAAAAATGGTTACAGATGAAGAAACTGAAGAATAGGCTTTTCCTGATATCTCATTTTCAAAGTACTGATACAAACTTACTACAGAAATAATATTTTTGCCCCGTATCAAAGAATCTGCAGAAAGTTTCTAAGAGAGCCAACTTTCTTGTTCAATTTCCAAAAATAAAGGCTTTCTAACTGGAAGCATTTATATTCTTGGCTTTCTGAAGTAAACATTAAAAAACAAAGTAAAAAAAAACAAACTTTAAGCTTCTGAATAGCTCATTAAGTTATTACATAAAGTATTTTCTGCCACGACACTTTCTCAATTCAGGATATTTACTTCCTACAAACATGGTAAACAGGCTTCATCTCAAACCATTCAGTCCGTTTCCATGGCAACACTGCGGGATTCCTTGGCTACCATGAGTCGCATCAGTTGACTGTGGAATTTCTCAATCTTCTTTACATCTTGAGCTTGGTCTGTTCTGTACACCAAACACTGTCAGAAAGTTTAAAGGCACATGTTAACTGTGTAAAAATGGACTGTCAACAATAGCAACTGTACGACTGGCTGGGTAAAAATGTGAGCCTTTGCTACCACTGTTTTTGCCCTCTTCTCTCTGGGGGCCGTACTAAGAAAACTAAATCCAAGTTTCCAAGCCTCCAGCAATTACATTCCATAAATGTCACTGCTGTGGGTTGAAAAACTCAGTGAACTCTATCGAAGCTTATCAAAAAATACCCAGTTAAGTAATATGTTAAATCCTGCCATGGTCTTAAGGGAAGAACTCAAGTCTCAAGCTTTTAAGTAACAGAGAAAAAAAAACAGATTACAGGGATGTGAGGGTGGGGTTTACATTAGTGACAGGAGCCACGAAGACTTTTAAGGCGGATCAAACTCGCAGTTTTAGAAATCAAGACCAGCAGCCGTCTAGGGTGGCGGAAGGGTGGACGGATGCGGGAACACAGGAGACTGTTCTAACAGTCCGGGCAAGTGACGACATCCTAAACCTGAGAGCATCGGTGAAAATGGAATGTTCGTTCCCGACAGGTACTGAATGAGGGAGCTTGAATCATTAATCCCCAAATGCCTAAAAATGGAATGTATCCTGGGATCAAACACGAGTTTTTCCAGTGAAGGGAGAATGGACATGAGAATGAGGGGGAGGAAGGGACCACACGTGACCGGCAAACATGAAGTGCAACTGAAAGCAGAGAGCAGGAGAAGGAGCCAGCTGGAGAGGAGGTGGGGTGTCCCGTTCTAGACAGGCTAATTCTGAGGAGTAGTGAGGTCTGGATACTCAGCGTGGCGCTAGTCAGGGCATCAGAAAAAAATACGAGCTAAATGTCCAAATTTGATAGTAGACACAGATACAGGCAGCACTGAACTTAATGACCCAACAGATTACTCCAAAGAAGTGGCTCGAAAAAGACAACTAAGGACAGAATCCCAGAGAAGCCACTATTTCTGCGGGTGCATCAGTGAAGCCATCAGCAATGAATGAAACAGAAACACAGAAAAAGAAAATAAGATAAAATGGAGCCACAGATAGCAAAATAACGTTTTCCACGAGAGTAGTTTTCTGTATCAAGAGCAGCGAGGCAGTGAAGGGAGGCGAGAGCCGGTGAGACTGCAGGGCGTGAGAGTCAAGGAGGCGCTGCCGAGCTGTCAGCCTGGGCAGCTCAGTGCCACACAGATGGCAGCTGGCAGGGGCTCAGCCGTGACCGGGTGTGAGGAAGTAACGAGAGCGAGCAGTCTGGGGAGGAAAAAGAAGTGACTATAAAGCTTGTATCTTGTGTTCAAATACCATCATTCACTTGTCACATGCCCATAAGGAAACCTTTGTTCCCTTATCTCCAGTTATGGCCTCTATATTCTTCTCAAGGTTTGAAGACAACAATTATTAAACTATACCTGATACGCTATCTTAATGAAGCAAGTTAAATTATTTCCCCAAGAGCCTGTAAAAGTAGCTTCTAGAATGTGTTTCTTGACTTTGGACTGAAATGCAAAATAATAATCCCCGCAGGTAATTTGCATAAATTCTATGTAAATAATTTCAAAAACATGATTACCTCGAACAAATCTAAAAGTATGCAAAGAATAAAAGTGTATACTTACGACTAAATCATCTGTTACTTTCATACACAAACTCCCATCAGAATGCCTATATTTGAGAACCACACGTGCCTGAAACAAAAATGCATTTTTAAAAGATATTAAACTTATAAACTTTGACTTTAAACTTATTACTATTGAAATGTGGTAGAACACAGCATTTCAGTCCATTCCTATTGCTACACTTACTTTTTTTTTTAAAGACATGAGGGGGTTTGGCATTTCTAGCCAGTAAAAACATATACGGATGGAATCAAAGCATGCCACCTCAAAATAAGCCACTTGGGCAGGACTATTTTGAGCTGAAGGCAATTAGGAATCTGCCCTTTCTGGCTAACAGCAGGACACAAATGAACCTCTGTAAAGGTTAATAAATGTTCCCCCCTCCCTTACCCACAAGGGTGCTCATCTGCTTAAAAAGCTGCACTAAACGCCTACTATTTACTTACCACGCACTCCCTAGTCACCTTCCCACTAGTTACTCTGCCCCTCAGATGCCCCAAGCTCCCTTTTCTTTTTCCAGCCTCTGTTCCACACTTTGTCACCCTTTGTTAAGATGGGCCATAGGTTCCAACTCTAACTGTCCCCTTCTATTTCTTTATGAACTGCAGTTCACATGTAACAGTTTTCCTCCGTGTTTATCTGCCTTTTGTCGGGTTAATCTGCAGGATCCCAGCAATTAAACCTAAGAGAATAAAGGAGAAAGTTTTCCCTCTCTTACAGTACCACCACGCTCAGCTGCAGAGCAATGACAGGAACAGCAGGGGGGCGAACAGCAGAGAGGGCTGGGAAATCCAGACCCATCCCTGGGGAAACCCGAGTTCACACCTTCCCCGTCCCACGCCTCTCAGGAGGTGGACTGAGGCTCAAGCGTTCAGCAAAATCGCGCTGTTGCCATGATGGTGCATGGATGCGTTATTTCAGAAAACAGGGTTCTGCCTTGAAAAGATGCCTCCATCCACATTTTCCCAAATCTAGAATAACTCCTATACCATGTGCCATGCTACACGACACTTTTTGTTAAAAATATTCAGTTCTCCAGAAACAAAAAGAAACTGAAATTTTAAAGTGTGCTAAGTGTGACAACTATGTGATGTTTTCACTCTTGGTTAAAAGAATACCCACTGCCTTCATCAGGAGAAATGAGTTAAAGGGTCAATGGTATTATAATAAGAAGGTCAATTTCATAACTTGGGGGCACCTACGTTACCATGCCAGACGCCTTGAACAGAAAAAGAAATCCAGAGTCTTGCTCTCTCAGGATCTTTGAATCCCACAGACCAAAAATAACCAAAACATAAAAGAACACAAATCAGGTCCTCTAAAGGCACGCACAAGTAAAAATGCTGAGAGAAAAGTAAACAAGCAATTCAGATTGAGGCTATAGGAAGTGTAAAAGGTTTTGTGAAGGTAGCTTTGCAAAGACTTTTTGCTTTTAGGGAAGGTAGCAGGATAAAGGCTCAAGCAGCAGCAGCCTGCATGAAGAGTCCAGGAATTCTGCAGCTTCGAGAGGACAGAGCCCAAGGTGCTGGGAATGGTGGGACACCAAGCCAGACAGGCTGCGGAGAGGATCAGCCAGTGGGCTCAGAGGCTGCACGTGACCCAGCTGTCAATGAAGAACCACTCTGTACGCAGAAAACGGAGACCTCAATGGGTGTGTCTTAGACCACTGTGGGGTGAGAGGGAGCAGGGATTAAAAAGGCAGGCAGACCAACCATGAGGTCATTACATGGTCCAGCGGGATACCACCTCCAATCAGGGTGATGTCAGAGAGAACGGCAGACGGGATGATGTGCGTCATTAAAGGTGCAGTGCAGTTGGGAGAGAAGAGAGATTTTTGTAGAACAGGGTCAGAGAATTGTGACATTTTATTTACTTCTTTAGTCCTGGCAGGTAGAAACAACAGTATGGACTTGGGGCTTAGAGTCCTGATTTCAAATTTTAACTTAATCTCTTAGACTATACATGTCGTCACTTAACGTCTCCAAGACTGTTTACTCAGCTACCTCAAGGGGCTGTCTTCCTCGTTCACATAAACTGTACCTACAAATATATGTGAAATGTCTGTCACGTAGGAGACTGTCAATAACCAGTAGAGGGCTACCGCGAAGACGCAGGAGCTTGGAGGCCACTGGCACTTTCTGATTGGGTAAAGAGCCGGAAAAGGTCTCTCTCCTGCATATTCTAGACATGCTGTGTTCACAGCAGTGCCCTGTAGTTACCATTTTATTTCCATTTTCCCTGGCACCACCAGCAGCACATTTAAATGACCACTCTTGATGTAAACTTGTATATTCTTTCTTTTAAAAGTGTCAGTTTATACAGTGAGCACTACTAGACAAAAATCCCGTTTCGTTCTCATAGGACATGGCTTAAATGAAGAAACCAATGGCCCTACAAACAAGTCTAGTCATCCAAATGGAGGGGGTGGAAATTGTGTCATAACCAAAGTACTCACTTTAAAAAATATCTAATTCACTTCATCATTTGTTACTATATTATTTTATGACAAATTGTGGAACAGAGTATTCTACAGCTTCTTGTTACCTATCAAGATTTAAAAAGCTAGCAAGATTTTTAGTTAACAAGGTGGTGTTTCAAATAATGTTTACATATGACAATAAAGTAAACCTTAGCTTTTTAAATAATGAGCTAACCTCTGCCATCCACTTGTTTTTAATCTTTAATGTTCAGGTTCATTTTGTTGGAGGAAGGGTGCATGCATTCTCCTTCTCTAATAGGTTTAACCTCTAAATGGTTAAGAACCACTATTCTAACGGGTGTAGATGCCTCTAAATTGGGGTTTTTCATGAACGTGTCGGCAGTAGCAGAAAAAAATTTACTGTTTTATTTCCGAGGAGGGACCCTCCCGCCCTGGCTGTACCGGAAATGGGCAGCGAAACACCAAGGCCAGGAAGGCGAGGCTGAGGGTGGGGGAGGAGCCCTGCCCTGAGGGACACGTAAACCACTGAATTCCGAAGAGACACTCGGGTATTGGGGGCAGGAAAGGCCAGCAGCAGGACTGCTCGCGACCCGGAAATGATCCTGCTTTTGCCCATTGCAGGGCCTTATAGAGCCATCAATCAGAGGAGAGACAGTAGGCACAATCAGACTTGGAAGGGTCCATCTGTGGTCAATGCCAGCACTTCCCAGGGCGCCGAAGAACTGGAGGCCGCGTGGACGGCAGTGAAGACATCCTGGCCTGGGCCTGGGTAAGGAGCGCCGGCCCCGCCAGCACCTTACCTTCATCGGGTCGGCGAGGTAGAGTTTCTCGGCCGCGCGACTGAACTCCTCCCAGGTCTGGTACTGCGGCATGGTGGGACCGCAGCGGGACAACAGGGAGGCAAAACTGCGACCGGAGGCTGTGTGACCCAGCCAACCCACTACCTACTTCCCACCACTGCCGATAGATCGATGGATCGATCGATGGATCGACCGATGGCAAGGCCCACCTGACCAAAGAGGGTGGCACCTTCTTGCACCAATGTCTCATTTTATTGGATGGCCGGAAGGCTCTTGACCAATGAGAAGTAAGGATGTTGTCAGAATGGGGCGGAGCCCGGAGCGGGTGGCTCTGGGAACTGGCCCAGAGAAGTCGAGAGCAGAGGGACAGTTGGCGGGTGCTGCAGCGCCCCCTGGAGCTATGGAGGAGCATCTGTCTCACCGCCCAGTAGGCGGGACTTCTACGATAAAGCCAAATTGCGCTGGCAAGAACCGTAGGTATTGTGCAGGTCAAGTGCCTCTTCTTACAGACAATAGTTACTATTTATGGAGTGTTCCCAAGTGCCTGCTGCTATTTTAAAGTCTTCGTACGTGTTAACTCATTTAACACTCAGAAAAATCCTATGAAGTAGTACTATTATTACTCCCATTGTATAGATGATGAAACTGAGCCCACTGAAATGAAATAGTTTACCCAGTTCTGTAGCTTAATCGATCTTGGCCCAAACCTCTTATTCCTTAATGTAACACTCTTTTCACTAAGACACTGCCACTCAAGCCCTTGGAAACAAGACTACATGTCTTTTCTTCCCAGTTTTAATTTGCTAAATCAAATTCTTAATAAAGCTTGGCACATTCCAGCTGACTTTGGAGAAGCGCTGGCGAGTGTTCAGGTCAGACCACCCCTACGGGGCAGCCTGGATTCCCAGCTCTGTTCACGGGTCTCGTCTCTGCACTCAGGGCTCCAGGATCCTGGGGGGTTAGCCAGGTACCTGCTTCCCTGTACATATATTGGGTTAGCCAAAAGGTCTGTATGGTGTTGTTGTTTTTTTTTAGTATAATAAAAGACATTTTTCATTTTCACCAATACCTTTATTTATTTGAGTATTTTGAATATGTTGGCTATCTCCCAAACATGGTAGAATGTTGATTGTTCTCAATTAATGTCGCGATTTGATCGCCGTCAACTTCAGCTGCCTCACCTGACTGTGGAGCATCCTCCAGCCAGAAATCTCCAGGACTAAACTGCGCAAACCACCTGTGACATGTTTAATCAGTCACCGTACCTTTGCCATACACTGCGCAAATCTTTTTTTGCTTTTCAGTTGCATTTTTACCTTTCTTGAAATAAAAAAGCATACTTTGCCGAAAGTGTTGGGTATTTTCTTCAGTCTTCGAGATTAAAGTGGCTATACAAAATATTCACCAATTTTGATAAGTTAAAAAAATGCATGCCGATATGACAGCTATCACAATACAATCTAACAACATTGTTTCGAATGAAGTTAAAGACAACTACACGCTACAAGAGCCATCTTAGGGGGAAAAAACCAAAGGAACTTTTAGGCCAACCCACTAATCAGGTCAGTGGAGCATGAGAGAAGAATGATCACCTGTGGGCCCAGAGGGGCTGCTAATAGTGATCGCACAAGCTGACCCTCAATAAATAGGGTGGATGTTCAACAGGTGAGCAAGGAGGGGAGGAGGTCTCGGCCCATTTTAGATCTGCTGTGGAACCGATGCAATGGGTGTTTAGGGAGAGAAGAAGCAAGGAAAGAAGCCATATCGTCACTTATGCCGGGATTAAGAAATTTGAACTTTGTCCTGCAGGCAATAGGGTGACACAGAAGGGTATCATTCTTCAGTTACATTTATTGAGACATATTTTACATACAGTAAAACATTTTGGCTTTAAGTGTACAGTTTGATGCATTTTGATAAATGTATCCATTTGGGTATATACCTGTATGCCCCATACCACCATCAAAATGCAGAATACTGCATCTCCAAAACATCCCCTAATGTTTATTTATACTCAGTCTCCCCACCCCCACCCCTGGCCCCAGACAACTACTAATCCGCTTCCTGCTACTATAAATTAGTTTTTCCTGTCCATTGAAGGGCTTTAAGCAGATTAGCATGTTACAAGGCTCCAGCTGCAAACCAAGCCTGGCAGCAGGGAGACCTCTGAAGATGGTCTTGTAGTGATACATGCATAAGACACTTCGAATTCCCAAGGATTTCGAATAAGGGAATATGGACCTGTGCCCTTTTCCTTAACAGGCGATGAAGAAACCCAGCCTGAGAAATAATTTATACTAAACAGATTGGCACCGAACTCGGCTGTCCATTGTCCAGCAAGTGGCAAGCCAGCATGGAAATCAGAACTAGAAGTGTAGGATTCATTTTGATTTTTAGGAAATGAAACTAGGAAAGCAGGATTAGAAGACTGAGCTTGCATGTAAGGTCAAACCAAAGGCCCTTGTTCTTTTCCCTACGTCCATTATTGCATCCGGGATTGTTTTCCCGTCCTTGCCATCCAATCCCCTTCCCACCGTGGCGTTAGCCTCTCTATCCACCCCCAGCCTTCAACTGCAGCTGCATTCACTGAAGTCACCAGCTTGACCCCACTGACCTTCATGTTGCTCAATGCAGCAGTCAGCTCTCCAGCCTTTCTTGACTATTCAGCTGCGTTTGAGGTCACTGGCCACCCCTTGGTCCTTTAAACTTCCCAGAGCCTTGGCTTTTTGTATCCCATTCTTCTCTCCTCCTTTACCTCTCTGGCTTTTCGTGCTCTGGCTCTGTTCTGGCCTCTTCTGCAGCCCCTGGTCTTTCAGGACTGAGTCCTGAGGGCCCCGACTTTGACTCCATACTCTATTATCCTTCCTGGGTTCTCACTTCCACCTCCATGCTGTGAGACTCCTGGATTTCTGCCTGGTCCACAATTTCTCCCAGAGCTTCAGGTTCAAAATCCAAATACCTGCCAGGCCCAAATACTCTGGGCTAACCCCAGAGTTCGATTTGGGGAGTTGAAAACAATTTGTCAGCAAGTGGAAGCAATTTATAAGGAATAAATGTGGTGCCTCCATTTTTCACTTATTTTACTATTGCCACTGGCAAAGTATTAGTAGCCGCTCGTGTGCTACATTTAATTGCCAGGAATTCAATAACTATGCATTGCAGACCCTTTGTGGGCTGGTTGTTGTGCTGGGCAAAGTGCTTATAAGCTAACGAGGTCAGCTGCGGAGATAATAAGGCAAACTCACAAATACCTGTCATCAAAGACAGACACAGTGCGGGAGAGAGCAGTCTCACCCACGAGGCCCGGTGATGCTTGTGTTTCCTTTCCCTCTCTCCTTTACCTTTCCCCAAAGGAGGAAGGTTTTGTTGTTGTTGTGTAGCCAGGGAGAATCGACTGATTGTTTCAGAATTCTTCTGCTTGGAGTTTTTTGTGGTACTCTGTCATCTTTAAAAGCAGTCAATGCCATGGCTGTTCCAGACTCAGAACAAATACAGATTCTTAAATGGATTCTGATATTAATGATCGTAATAACAGCCCACAGTGCTGCCGGCATGCCAGGAATGCTGGCGTGCAGTAAGTGCTGAGGGACCCGCTCTGCCCGGAGTCAAAGAAGCCCTGTTCCTCTCGTCCCTTCCTGGGTTTCATGGATTCAATGCAAAGCAGTCAGGATGAAACAGACCTGGTGAGAGCAGCCAGCCAAGAAACCGGTTCTCCCAGCAGTGTGTCCAGCATGGGGAGGGAAGGAAACCTGAGGGCCTTCTGAAAAGGAGCCGGTCTCCAGGCAGCTCTGGCCCAGTGTCCAGTGGAGGGCAGTGGTGTGCAGACTGGAGACAGAGCCGCGTCCCTGAAAGCCCGTGTCAGCCTCTCCTGAAGGAAGCTGTCTGTCACAGAGCACAGACCCTCACCTTAGCTGGGGAAGGGGTCGGGTTTGGTTACCTTTTGCTCAGTTCTTTTCTTTTCGGACAGAGCCGAGGCTCTTATTTGATTGCCAGGAAACTTCCCAACCGCTTTAATTCACTACTTACCTGTCCCCGAACCTCTTCAGTGTCGGTCACTTACCAGGTGCACTACGGTGAGAACAAGGATGGGCAGGGGACCCTCGCCTGCTAATGAGAGCAGAGGGGGTCGTGAGTGAAGGCAGGTTTGCAGTTAATCAAACTGAAGGCAGAAGTAGACGTTGATGGAGAACCTAACACCCCAGGATGCAGCACCTGGGGACTGGAGCAAGTCTGAACGTTCCCTGCCCTCTAGTGTGTGAAGGGTGCGGAGAAGGTGTGACTGGGTGAAATGTCACAGCAGTTCCGCCTGGTGTGTCTGTGGGGGCAGCCCAGAGCTGACCCCCCAGGACCCACACTCAGCCTTCCTAGATTCTCTGATCAACAGCCCCGGAGTTGCCGGAGGGACACTGTAGGAATAAGGACTACTCTGAGGCTGGGGGTGGGGCCAGAGCGGAGATAGAAGTCACCCTAAGAAACAAAGCCCCTTCCCAGAGCCACAGGCTGGCAGGCTCGTGCCCTCTGCACCTACGGAGCATCTGCTCCTACGGAAGCATCCTCCAGGTGCCTTTCAGAGCTGTCTCTCTCTGTCTTCGTTACACCCCGCTCCAGGAAAGCTGACATTTCCATACTTTGGGCAGGTAATGATCCATCCCTTTAATATAAAGCAGACTGAAACTGATGAACACACCTCAAAAAACAACAGGGGGCAAAAAGGCTTGTTTTTTCCAAGGGCCTTGAGAGAGAACAGGCTCCAACTGAGCCTTGGGGATGGGAAAGGCCACCCGCAGTGCTGCCTCCTCTGGGGAAAGGTGGGTCAGACCAGGCCACAGGCTGCCCAGCCCCGGGTGCTCTGTGCTCTGTGCTCGGGCCAAAGGCCAGGACACCGAGATTCCAGAGGCTCCTGGCTTGTCAGTTTCATCTGAAACTGATTAAAATGAAATGCAAACCCAAGTAGCCGGGAAGAAAAGGTCAGGATTTTACCCCCACCTGCTCCCCTCCTTCCTCCGCGGCACACTGTGCTCTGGCCTGGGTCCCATTGCCGCTCAGATTTCCCACATGCCCACAGAGCCCGGAGAATGGCCCCATTGTGGACCAGACAAACCAAAATAGCAGCATCTTCTGTTCTCTGCCTCAGGGACATTCACTTCAAACCCCAAAGTCCCAGATGTGGACGACAATGGCCGTTGTTGTTGCAAATTAGTGATCCTGGAACAGATGAGGGGCAGGTAGTC